CGGATGGGGTCACGTGACCGCCAATATCACGTGATTCACGCATGCGCAGAACGGTGGTTGGTGTGCATTAAAATCGGGGAGGATTAATTTAAAATATAATCAACATTAAAACCAAATATTGCTTCTTTTATGGAAGTTATTCAATTAGTTGATGACTTTTTGATCACCCTTCGTATATGAATTATTCGTGTATATTTTTAATGCTTGGTGTTTGGTTACAATTTTTCTATCAAATATGATCTTTTTAAATAGAAAAATACATTATTTGCACCGTAAATCTGAAAGTTACCCCAAACAGTAATTGAATAATTAAATCCTGTGTAGGTGCAATGAGGCCAAGAAAAGTAGCATTGATAAATAACCTGTTTCTCGTTAGTTTGTGTTGAAAGTCAAAGATAAACATTTTAATAACTTTTAATAATCATTTGCATATGTTCTTCATCATATTAAAGATTGAAATCTTTTTTACAAAGACTTATAAAAATATATAATTTGATTTTATTTGTATTCTCGCCTCTCATTGGTTGATTTCCAAAAAGGAACGCATAACATTTTGTATAATCTGGTTTGGTATGGGGACACACCCCCTTGACGACCAGCTTAATCATCATATCCATGCAATCCCCTCATTTTCAGTCCTCGGAATCCATTGAAAATTCCAGATTTAATAAATGTACCTTCAACTATACGCTTCGCGGATTATAAAGCGTAAACTGACCCAAACCAGATTATACTCGATAATATGGCCAAGAATTAGAGTCATTCCTTAAATACAAATTTAGGGTGGGAACTTGACTAATAAAAGTACACTTCATTTACTTACATTTTAATCAACGTTGACTCATCTTTTATTTCCATTGAATAAAAAAGAATATTCTTGAGAAATATTGCTTAAAAATGCTCAGTCAATAAGGTCTATAAACGACAAGGTTTAAAGAAGTATTTTTTTTTTTATATTTTTCATATTCTCTTTATGACAAGTACCTCTAATTATAACTGACTATGTAAAGTCGAAGTGTTTAATCACCATCCCAAGTTTCACAGGCTGCACTACATTTAATAACAAGGAAACATGAAACATGAGATGTGCTTTTAACTGGCTGATAAGCAAATGCTAATTTATGATTTTGAAAAGTCTTAAAGTCTTGTAACAAAGACTTTTCCGACATAGGTTCTACCTTAAAACGATAGGATACGCGCACAATACGCGTCAGCGTGTAAATATACAGTCTCTGAAAATATTAATTAACTATTATAATTTTTTTAATAGTTTAAACTCATCTCTGCTGCAAGTAAACAAAAAACTGGGAGCCTGCAAATTAAGAATACACAAGGGGCAAGCTATCATGTCAGTCAGAACCTTCTTCAAACATGAGTGAACAAAGCAGTCTGAGAAAGTAGTCAACTGGGACTGCTTGGTCTGCTTTTTAGAGCAGTCCCAGGGGAGTCCCATAGCGGTCCCAGAGCAATTCTACAGCAGTCCCAGAGCGGTCCCAAAGCAGTTCTGGGGACTGCTTTCTGGGACTAGCTGCTTGGGTGTCAGGTTTGGTTTGGTCTATACTGTAAGGTAGGATTCTTCCCATGTTTCTTGTATAAAAAAAAATGAAGTTTTCACAGAATTATAAAGACGGTATCGCTAAATGATAGTATAAGTGAGATTGAATTTTATCGTTTTATATTAACGGCAAAGTAAGGTCAAGGTCACAACTTTTCCTATAGATATAGATATTAAGATAAAAAAAGATACGGTTTCCAATCATGCAATCCCTACTTGTATCTCAAAAGATTGACGTTTTCATAAAAAAGATATTACCATACAAGGCCTTTGAAATGAATTTTCCAAATTGACATAAATAATTTAACTAAAATGGATATCAGCTAATCCGAATTTTACTTATTTTTCTCTAATTTTTAGTATTTAATATATTAGTTATTTTAATATACTTCTTATTACCCTACATTTAATCATTAAGACATATAAGCATATGTACTTAGAATATTTCATCTAGTCAGAAACCAGAGAAGAGTCCCAACTTGAATTAGTTTTTTTTATTTTGCGTGTCCTCACAAAAAATAATAATAACATTGCTGTATTATGACGAACACGTTTTCGAATTCAAAGAGAGAGAGAGAGAGAGAGAGAGAGAGAGAGAGAGAGAGAGAGAGAGAGATGTAAAAAATCATAAAGATCGATAAGCCCCGCCTCCTATAATATTCACCTAAACACAAGTCCGGGTACACAGGGGCCTGTAAAATACTGTATTTGATTTTACGTAATCATTATATTTATATACAAAAAGAGAAAGCTTAGCGAAAAAAAACGTCAGCTCGAATTTAAACAGGTCGATCTCGGAAATGACTTGTGATTTCAATAAAATACCTTGCAGTTAGTGATATAACGTCTGGGATCATTCAGTAATAATCACTCTTTAATAAAAAAAATACCATCGCGGTCATTTAAGAATCGTGTAAGTCGTGTTTCCCAGATCCGATATCCTGTCATGCAAGTGGTGTAGTTTAAGTCGTCCACTAAATTCGCTAAACATTGCATCCAATATTTAACGCGAGATGTGATTGGTCAATGGTACTTTTCTAGAAAAGATCTGACCAATCACGCTCCGCCTTTTACCAATCATGTTTTTTTTCCCAAAATGTCGTCTGTTCTGGGCTCGAGCCTCTCTGTGAACGAAAAAAACTACCGTATTTATTCAAATCGGAGATGTTGTACCTTTTAATTGCAATTAACAAAAGAAAAAGATGATTTTCGTGAACGCTGGATCTTTACTTTGTGTTTTCCATCTCCGTAAAAACTTTAAAACTGGAGAAAATGTGCGAATTTTGCCTGGTTTTAGTGGACGACTTAAATTACATCGACTCGTACAACGGGATATCGAGTTAGTATTACCCAACTTAAACGCTATAAAAGGAAACGAGCTTTCTGTTTTATTAAAGAATATTAATTGTAGTATGATTTCTAGTTATAATTTAATTGGCTGCATTCTTTTTTCTATGATATACGAAATATTTCCGAGATCGACCCAGTGTAAATTCGGGCTGACGTTGTTTCCCTTTCCTATTTTGTATATATATATAGAGATTACGTAAACATAAAAAAACAGTATGTTACCGGCCCCTGTGTCCGGGTACAGGTCAAAATCCGGAAGAAAACACGAATGTATCGTTTCTTCAGTTTTGATTCATGGCAACACGGCATTGTTTTTGTGCCAATACTATACCTTGAATAACCATGTGTACGTTACTCTTTCCATTGTTTTTAATATATACTCAATGAAAACACAACACTCTAATTTTAGGGTGAAATATTATATACGGGATATAACTATGTACCAAAATAGTTAGGACATCTTTTACGTTGCCAAATCAGTTATTTAATGCTTAAATGGTTTTTATTCCATTACCGACAGTTAATTTTTTAGCCCTCTTACAATGTAACATTTAAATAAAATATCCCCCCTTCCGACCATTTAATCAAAACATGCTAGTCCGCCATGTACAACATACATATATGCAGTCTGATTTCTACCATGCATTAGGTTTATCAATGTCTTTATCTGAGAGAAATAAATATTCTTGGGCATTTTAATTGCCCGTTCTTCAGATACTGCAGTCGAATTTTCTCTAACGTGGCGTAGTGTAGTAACTCTTGGACTTCCGGTCAAGAAACTGTCATTATTGCTATTGAAACACATGAGCCTGATGAGTCATTATATATTGTTTATTTGCATCTGCAGCTCCTTTTTGTTTTGAGAATTTCCAGCATTAACAATGAAAATCAATCATTTTGATGAAATATAGGCATCACATCCGGTAAAGAAAGAAGGATTTTTCCCCAGCATTTTTGTACAATCTTTATGATTAACAGCTAAAAAACCTTGAAAACCCAAAATATTGTTTAAAATTTTATTAAAAATGCAAAAATTTGATTTCTATTAAGAGGGCTAAAAAGCAACTTTCGGTGGAGGAAAGAAATTCACTTAAATAACTGATTTGGCAAAGTAAAAGATGTCCTAACTTGTTTGGTACATAGTTATATCCGTATATAATTTTTCACCCTAAAATTAGAGTGTTGCGTTTCCATTGACGGTGAGTATATTTTGGATTCACTTCATTTACTGATTGGTAGATAAGTCGCAAAAAAGTCCAAAAATGGCGTTGAAACCACCTGTTCCTTATATTAAAAATGTACTGTAACCAATATCAATAAATCTTCAAAGTCAGTAAAAAAAGGTTACATATATGTCAAACTACAAGCAAAAAAATGCTAATGTCATTATTTTTGTACTTTTGTAATTTGGAGATAATTTCAACAAAGAGTCGTTGGTATGCTGAATGTATCATATTAATATGTATAATACTAATATATGGCAATTTTTTCCAAAAAGCACCGTGAACCTCAACTTGGCTGTTGATACATTTACTGACATTGTAAGGACAATGTGCCGTCTCAGTGACCCCATTTTCCATCCATTCATTATTTATACCCTGTCTATCCAGGATTCCTTTCAAAGGTTTCTATGACTAACGGGCCTGCTTGGACTGACCGCTGAGGAACAGTTTTTTCAGTCTCGGAGCACTCCCAGATATCGATTGCTAGGACTCCTAAAGGAGTTTACAAGGTTTTTTCTGGTTTAGGCTGGCGACCTAATTCATACATTAAATTCATATAGAATAACTAGAATAAAAAAATCCTAAGACCAACAAGCCATGAACAAAGGGAAATCCTCGGGTAGTGTATCTTCTGTTTTTTTTCATCATGACCTAATCTGAAGGAAGCTGTCCAGAAATATCAATCTAAAAAGCACTTCCATGATGTCATACAGGTAATAATACGTGAAGCTTCAAGTGTAATCAAATCATGAAAAGAAGGGTATCTAAACTTAGAATAATTTCTTCTTTTAAAGACGAGTGATCAGATGAGCCTTGAGTTTTTTGTCTCTTATTGAAAATTAAGCATGCGTGACAATATTTAATATCCTTACATTTTCCTGCTTTTTCCAATGTTTGAACCACCGTTGCTATATCTGTAAAAGGAAAAAAAATCTTTTATTACCTATGTATTTGCAAGTATTGGTTTAAATTGACCGAAGTATCTAAATTTGTAGGTTAAAGAAATAGCTGAGTAGTTTCGAGGAAAAAAAATATTACAATATTTCTTCCAACAATACATCACTAGTCAACACTGCATGATAGTTACGTGGGAAAGTTCTGCTATCTCAGAAAAGAAATTTCGATTTCTTGACTAGAAAAGCTTCTAGAGTACTGCTTTTCAGTAGTAGCTTGGCTAAATCAATAATTGGTATATAACAATACTTCTGTAACAAACAGAAAGTGTAAAAAAAAAAAAGTGGCCTGTTCTTTTTTGTCCGTGCAAGTAATTCAGCCAGGTTAAAAAAAAAGTTGATCTTACAAGCCAAACAGATGGCAGTAAAGGAACATTAACTGTTTAAAAATAAAAACTTAAATGTTACATAATTTGGAGTTTAATTGTAAATTATAAATTAAATTGAACACTCGCTATTATGTTACATTTTAGATTTATGAATTAATAATTTGACGATAATCTTAATTTTTAGTTTTCGACATAATTTGGCTCAATTTCGACTGTGACGCTGAGGGATTTAATTTGGTGGTGGAACAAGTACGTCAAACGGCCCTTGAAGATACTTGGTTATGTTATTTTATACTTAAGCAGCTACATACACATATGAACAAATGTATAGGCACTTTCTGGAAGCTTTGGGGTTTCATTTTTGTTTGAATGTACAGAGAACAATTGTTCAGAAAAATTCAAATGAATACTGTGCATCTCACCACAAATTTTCCCTTCTAATGCGTGCATTTCATTTTGTTGCGACTCTGAAATGTAATAATATACAATGGTAGAAATACATTTTACATGCATTACACTCAATTCAACACATTTGTGTTCTTCATTTGCTCAGTTCTTATAAGATTTTGGCTTCGTATAACACATAGATTGACAGTTCTTGTTTAACATTATGCTATTTTTCAAATTACAGATTTGTGTAATATGTTATTTGTAATGAAATCCAAAAATAAAAGAATTATTCCTTAGTTTTGTTTAATGTGCAGCTAACATTATTTCCCCTAATTTCTTTACAAGAAAATCATCCAAAATTGAAGAAAAATATCTAACAACATTTAATATTCCTAAGAATCTTAGCTACATGTACTTAAGGCTTAATGGGATTAAAAACCTTGTATATGTTGCCAATTATTTTTTGGAAATGCAAAAACTAAAATGAAGATAAATTTAACTAATACAACCGTGATTCATTTTACAAAGAAATAAATAATGGTATAAAAACCCTTCAAACAAAATTAATTGTGTAAGTCATACCTTCGTAGAGCTTTTGTCTCTGCATCAGATTCTCTTGCAGACCTAAAATGAAATATATCTTTGAATCATGTTTCAATTAAAATAAAAAAAAAATATGTAGGTGAAGACCATTGCTTACCAGAACAGAGGAATATGACAACTTTAGAAAGATCCAATCGACTTTTAGTGTGTGAGTTTATAATATTTTTTTTTTAATAATATAAATAGATTATGTAATGAGAAATTAATTGAAAAAAAAACATAATTGAAATACATGAAAAAAATGATATTTTACAACAATATTCAAAGTTTAAAACATTTTAAAGAGATTTTTCAAATTGTTCAAAAGCCAAAATTATTGATCAAAAAACTTTATCATGTGATCTAGTTTAAGCCATTCAGATAGCCTGCAACAACAACAACAATAATGATAATAATAATAATAATAATAATATTAATTTTTATGTGAACGTAACCAGCGATAACGTGTCCAGCAGTACTATAATTAAAGGATGAAGGAGAATTATGAAACAAGCATTCCGTTGACATCATATATACAAGGCATGTATTATACATGTACCACCCCGTGTTTTAATTTGGTGTATTGTGCAGGGCCATATGCATATATGGAAATAATGTGCAGGACCATCTGCGCTTTCGTTTTGTTGACACGTGTAGGACAATATACAGATATATTTTGTTGAACTGTGCAGGGCAATATGTTCATATTTTAAAAAAAAGTTCAGGACCGTTTTCACAAATTAAAATCTAGATGCTGTCATGAGACAGAAATACTCGTACTAAGGTGTTTGCCTCTAAATACACACTCCTTCATATTGGGCTTTCCAAGTAAAAAGTCAAAATAATTCTATAATTTACGCAGTACATGTATTTGTCAGATCAAGCATAAAATTCTCAGGTAACCAATGAGCCTCTCATATGTAGTTTGTATACTTAATTCATTACCAGTCTGAAATAACAGAAATTAATAAATAATGTAAATTAGTTTTTTGTCCATAGTATTGGAACTTTTTAAATTCATTATTTCAACAACAAATAATATTATTTTAGTACAAAGCGCTTTTGATGACTTTATCGAAAAGTGAAAACTTTTTTAGCATTTGGTCAGGCAAAAAAAAAACTTAAAAATCCAACCCAATCAATTTTGTTTAACACCCCCCCACCCACGCACACACACCCTTTCTCTCTCACACACACACCCTCACACACACACATGCACACACTTATACGTTTTCTGAAATAGGCCTAAATGGCAAAATTGTGTTAAAACATAATTTGTTATGATACATTAAAATTTATTCTTGTACTGTTCATGCATGTGAACGCCTTTTTGGAAATTTCTACATGACACTGAGTTTGCGTCACCCATATCATTTTAAATACCACCACTCGGCACACCTCGGCCGATTCGTACATCTAATGACGCGATGGAATCAGCCAAGGTTTGCAGAATGGATTAGCACATGCTGATGGAGTATTATGGTTTGTACATCAGTTGAAATAATTCATTTTGTGTTTTAATTAGATTATATTTCATGAAATTAACAGGACCTATGACAGTCGGTAAGTACAACTTCAAGTATAGATTGAGGTAAAATAAACAGAATTGCAAATGTTTAGTTTAATTTTCAAAAAAGGTTCATAGATCATCGCATGCCACATTTGACAAAATTCACATATGTGAAGTTATTTCCCGTTGTCGAAGTGACATTAAGTTACAGACGTATATCCTGATTTTTTCGAGTAGGGGTGGGGGTGGGGGTGGAGGGGGGGGGTCACACCTCGTTCAAAAAATTCCAGCCCAGAATTTCCTGAGAGGCAACGGGGAAAAAAAACAAATAAGCAAAATAAAAACAATATAGTGGAGTTTATGTTACCTAGGGGGAGAACGTCAAAAGTTGTTCTCAGTATATAGTCCTATTTTAATAACCTTGCAAATTCCAGAGCCGGGGTGTTCCGATCTCCCTAGCCACTTCCTTTATCTTAAATTACAAATGATCTCGTGACTCCAAAAAAGTAGAAAATTTTTCCATTTGACTTTACATATTTTAATTGTTTTTGTGTTTAGGCCCTACTTTATGTCTGTTTTTTTCAACATGCTATGATTTTTTCCCCTTGACCTTAATGTTTTACCTAAATTTCAAAACATTGAACTCTCCCAAGAGATGATTAGGCCTCAGTGTAATATTTACAGTAGGAGGAATTCGGGGAAGACGGACTTTTTGCATAAAAAAACATCATTTTTTGACCCCCATTTGACCCCCCGGGACAAAATCAAAATTTCGAAACCTTAATGCACATCTTTTTGACTCCACCAATGATCTCCAAAAAGATGATTAGGCTACTGTGTAAAATGTAGGAAGAGTTCTGGAGACGGGGCCTTTTGCATAAAAAACGTCATTTTTTGACCCCCATTTGATCCCCAGGGGCAAAATCAAAATTCCATAACTATACTGCATATCTACATGACACCACCAACTAGTTTCCAAAAGATGATTAGGCTATTGTGTAAAATGTAGGAGGAGTTCAGGAAAGAGGGGCTTTTTGCAAAAAAACCCCGTTATTTTTCGACCCCCATTTGACCCCCCGGGGCCAATTTAAATATCCGAAACCTTACTGTACATCTACATGACAGCACCAACCATCTCCCAAAAATGATTAGGCTACTGTGACAAATGTAGAGGGAGTTCAGAGAAGAAAAATGTGACAGACGGACGGACGGACATTAAAAACCAAGACCCCGTGTCAGCGGCAGGCGTTGGCACGATAAGGATCCCTCACTGGTCATTGGCCCCGAGTGCCAAGTAAAGGTAAAAATTTGAAGCTCTTCACCGGCATACGGTGACGTCTCCATATGAGTGAAAAATTCTCGAAAGGGACGTAAAACAATATACAATCAATCAATCTTTAGAAAGTGGGGTTTTAAAAAAATATATATATACAGGACCATCTGGAAAGTGTTTGTTAACTTGTACAGGACCAATTTAGAGCGTTTTGTATATATTTCTTGAATTTTATGTTGTTAATAAAGGGGTCAACTTGAACTACATTTATTTTGTACCTTGTGACAGATTTAAAGATTTGAATACTTAATCTTCTCTGGTTGAACCCCTTTTCTTAATGTATATCATATAACAGTATTATTATGGTGTTGGGGGTGAGACAGTTTAATATTTTGCCAAAGATGAGTGATACCCTTAATTTGAGTCCCATTTTTCTGATCCCTTTTTTTGTGAAATGTGTTTTATTTCTTCTGTAATTTATTTTAATAAATTAAATAGTATACTTCTATATGATGTAATCTGTTTTTGCCTGCTTTTAACAAAATGATTTCAGTCGATTGACAACTAAGGTACATAAAGTACTTTTAAAAGGTATGATATTAAGTTTATCGGGCTCTTTAATCTACAATGATGCTTAAAGACAATAACGCTCAGGACAGACTAAAATCATTTTTGAGATTTGTAAAACCTATTATAAAACACGTAAAAATAATCAATAAAATTTCAAGTTTAATAAAATATCTAAAATGCAACTGAGCATACTTCTTAATGTCGCATTACATTGCTCTGTAAATGCTCTGCATAATACACGTCATAGTGACACCTAAATGTTACACATCATTCTGGGGGAGCCGCTTTCATAAAAAGTACTTGCGATACGTTTTTTGTGTTTTATTTATGCCTCAGCAATTGTATGCATAAAGTTACTCTTTGATGACGTTTTGGTTTCATTTTTGATTTGCAGTACAAAGAACAATTATGCAAAAGATATTAAAATGAAGATATGAGTGCATCTCACCTTCGAATTCCTTTTTTATTCCAAGCATAATTTCATTTTGCGACTCTGAAATGTAATAATCTATATTAGAAAAAGTATTTTACATGCAATCAGTCAATACATATATGTACTTTGGACAATTCTTATAAGTTAAATTTCTTCGAAGAACAGACAGGGTTAGGCAGTTTTAATTTGATTGATATAATGAGATTATTGTTTTCAAATGAGGGATTTGCATGTGTTATTTTTATAATTGAATTAATTGTGCGTGTCATACCTCTGTAATTCCTTTGCTGTTCCATCAGATCATGTTTCATATCTAAAATGAATTTCATTCAAAATTCAAACAATATTCCCTGAATTGATCACTGGTCATTGTAATCTAGTAGCAGAGCGTTTGCGGTACCGCGATGGTCATTTGCAAAATTATTTTATTAAAACACATAATTGCACACACAAGTACTCTGACGTTGACATTAAAGAGATTCTTGAGTTTCTGATTGACAATATCTATATGGGTTTTGAAGACCAGGTGTTTCGTCAATCTATTGGAATTCCCATGGGTACCAAATTTGCTCCGTTATTAGCAGACCTATTTTTATATCAATATAAAGCAGAATTTGTGAAAAATCTTAAGCATGAATAGAAGAAAACACTTGATGTGGCCTTCAACTCGACATTTAGATATATCAACGACGTTTTGTCAATTAACAATTGTAATGTCCATTCCTACGTCGATACTATATACCCTGGTGAGCTTGAGGTAAAAGATACCACAAACTCTGACATCAGTTTCATACTCGAATATTTGAGTTCAAAAAAACGTTAGTGGTAATCTAACAACCAAGCTTTATAATAAACATGATGACTTTAACTTTTCTATCGTCAAATTCCCTTACTTATGCAGGAATATACATTCATCACATGCATACGGAGTAAATACATCTCAGTTAATTCGATAAGCAAGAGCATGTTCTACGTATGAACAATTTCTAAAACGAGTTAAACTATTGAAAAGCCACTTTATGAAACAAGAATATCAACAGTTTCGTTTAAAATCATCATTACGTAAGTTCTATGGTCGATACAATGACTTTGTCAGCAAATACAATTCATCATTGAGTTAAATACTGACTGATGTTTTTCATTGTTAGCCCATAATTTATACACGGATTTTTTCGTCATCCCCTGATCATGAAAAGGTGCATACAGCAGGTGTGACCGGTCAGCAGGGGATGCTCACTCCTCAATTGCACCTGATCCCACCTCTGATGTTTCGGAGGTCCGTGTTTGCTCTGCTCATATTTTGTATTGTTTTATGGACTTTGAGAATGAATACCGTTCGTTATCTCCATATCGTTCTACCTAAGACGAAATCAGGTAGTTGTTGATCATTCGCCAAGCACTCGACATTAGAAATGAAAATCACAGGTCCTTTGGATATGACCAAAAAAAACTACGATTCCATGTCACAGTAAGCATAAGCACAAAAAAGGAACCCTCACCTTCCAATTGCACTTTGCGACGCATATAGGTCGAATTAAAAAGGTACAGTTTAGCATTATTGTGCCTTAAAATTTAATGTTTTAAACATGTTTTCAAACTAGATGAAATGCAGTTAATGCACATTTTTAAAATGTCACACTGCATTTAGTAATGGATGTGGGAAACACCATTCGTGTAATTTTTCTGCATGGATGAAAATTCAGGAACCATGAGATCTCATGATTTACATGAGTTTTGTATTTAGCGTAGAACTTACGTCGTATAACATCATAACTAGTGAATGTGTTTAGCCTGTGTTAGATCCATTATGATGTCATAATTAATTCAATGTCACCTTTTCCGTACTTTACAGCTTCAATAGAAATTGTAGAAAATACTGCATTTTGAAATGCAGAGAATTCAATTTAAAATCACGCCGAAGTAAACTTAATTCTATTTGTATATTTTTTGGTTATTAGTGCTAATTGACAATATATTTCTTGAATTAAGGAAACCTGCAGGCACCTTTTATTTACTAGATCTTGACCTAATTAAGTAGGCGAAACCAAGGCTTTCTTGTGTATTAGAATTACACTGTATACAACTTACTGTTATAATGTGAATGGTTTGCCACATGTTACTATTAGAAGAAATGAAAAAATTCTAAGAAATCTTCAGTTGCCAACTAAATACATGTAGTGTAATATCTTGTTGAAATGTATCCAAGTTAAAGATGTTCGTGATGTAGAACGTGTGACGGTGTGTACATTTATGTGATATCAACCATGAAGTGATGTACATTTCTTTTCACAATCATTTGTTACTTATTCATATTCTTGGTGTATGATTTCAATTTTTTCTATGAAATATAATCTTTTTGAATTAAAAGTAAAATTCTTGATACATAAATTTTAGTCTGAAAGTAACCCAAAACAGTCTTTAAATAATTAAATCCCATGTTAGTGCAAAAAGGTCAATTATTTAAACATCGGTAAATAACCTATCTCTCATTAGTTGGAGGCGAAAAGTTTATATTTCAATCACTTCTTGTACTCATTTTGTATGTTCTTCATCTTATTGTGACAAAGACTTCTAAAAATATTTACAAAATTTAAGAGGCAGTCCACTGAAAATCAGGCAGGGTTGTATTAATAGGCGGCACATCGAATGTGACGAATATTTGAAATTTTATTGAAAACAATATCAATGTAGTCCAAATGGAATAATGTAATCGAAGATTTGTTTTAAAATTGCTTATTTAGTAAAATATCCTTTTGTTTCGTGTTCTTGAATTCCCCTATATAAACCATTGAATTTAGGTCAGAAACAACGAACTGTAATTTCCAATACTTATTTAACAGGACTATAATTCATGCTGAACTAAATCTAGAAATATTTCGTCTTTCAGTTTCAAAAATAAAATTGGTGGGCAAAACACTTTCGATAGTAGTTTTCTGTCAAAATATATAGACGTTTTTATGAAATTTTGCGATGTAAGAGTTATCTCCCGTGGCATCGGTAAATCTGCTAAACACATTACTATCGAAATCCTAGTGAAATATTTAGAATATATACAGAAAATAAAATTATTTAACAAAAACTTACTACTTTATTTTCAAAATAGAATTCATTTTCGCCTCCAAACGTAATATTTAGATTAAGATTGGCAGTATTATTCAGGTTGAATCCACGTTTCCATTGATGTATCAGTGACGTCATATACCTGACTAACATTGCGTCACAATTAAATAGTCACAAGTTTTCCAAAGAAGTTTGTAAATTCTTTGCATAAAAGCGCAAATAAAACGATTAAAAATAAATAATTTCTCTTTTTCTGTTCAATTACTTTTCAGAGTGCATTATCCTACATGTTAAATAATCATATATTTTTATATAAAATGTTTGTTTTTTTTTTACGGGCGACGTCTCAGCTAGAAGTCCCATTTGAAAGGTAATTTTATACATGTCCGAGAACTAATTTTTAAAACTGATTTACTAGGCTATGCGTAAAATAATTAATTGTTTATATTGAATATTTCTTATAAATTTGGGATGTGAAGAGATTTTATTTTCTTCTGATTATCAAGGAAAAATGAATATTTTAGATTTACGCAACATTTACAATTCAAGTCAACGGAGTTGAGATGTTTATTTCATAATATTTTTACACACATACACACACACACACACACACAAAAAAAACAAAAAAAAAAACCACATGAATATATTTATCTACGCAGACAAACCTCTGCAGTCAAACCAAAGTAAATGATCCGCGGTACGATTAAAAATATTTAATTAAAAAGGTGAAATATAAGATTTAAAAATATTTATTGAGGAAAATTACTGTTGAACTACCCACTTCAATTTGCCACTAAAACGGAAGATTTCGTGGGCGTATTTTTTGTTTTGTATTGTTTTTGTTTGTTTGTTTGTTTGTTTGTTTGTTTGTTTTTTTTTTTTTTTGGGGGGGGGTTAAATTTGGTGATTGAAACAATCACATACTCACATTCAATATGAAGTTAAAAAATGTGACCATGTTGGCCAATTCTTAAATGTTTTCCCTTTAATGGAAGTTTTTTTTAATATGCCGCCTTGCCCCCCCCCCCCCCCCCCCAGCTTCCCACCCACCCCGTCCCGGCTTTTTGATTGCGATTTATAGGCTCTTAAATAATGATAATATATCTGAAATAACTTATTTTCTTATTTATATAAAATTAAATTTTATAAAAGATTAAAATATAGGGGAAACGGCTTTTATAGATGACAGGTTTAAAAAACTTGGATAAAGCCGAGACTGTGCACATAAAATATTTTCTGCATTTAGGTACGTATAAGTATAATTTCGCCAAAGATAGAATTTTACTCTTTAATTCACGAGAGAATGAAAAAATAAACTTTAGTTGAAAATAAGATATTTAATAAAGATAAGCTGTTTACTCTCAGTTGTTGCATAATGCATAGGTACAAATACTTTGATTTTTTAATAGGCCTACCGAAGTATCAAGAAATCAAACAGATGTTATACATGATTGCAATCTTCATGTACGTAAAAGATATTAGTATTTTAAATACATTGTATAAACATTTGAATCTATGGATAAAATAATTTTAAAACAGTTGACTAACTGAACAGAAATAAAAGACAAGCATATCTTTTTCTAATACATTAAATGCAGAATATTTCTAGTTTTAGAAACCGATCCCGATTGAAATAAATCGATCCCGATTGAAAATAATGCAAAATGTGTAAAGTTATAAAACTAAAGACAACTGCCACCCATAAGACATGCAAAAAAATAAATCAAGTAATTTTTTGGCCATATTACAACAAAAGAGCCAAATTTAACATTACAATTATAGTATTTCCTTCTTAATATAATTCCGGTCGGGATCGGTATAATTGTGAAAAATTGTAAAACATAGGTAAATTTGACTCCTTTTATTTCTCTCAATATACGAGTGCCCGCTGATTTTATTGAGTGACTCGAAAGTTTGCACTTTGTATTAATATTAACATGAGAAAAAAAATCTGTCATTGAAATGTATTGGGTTATATAACGTAATGAAAATTGGATATTGAATTCAAAAAGTTACTTGCTAAACTCAATTTTGGACCACACATTTTTTTCTAAAGAAATATAAATTGGAGTCTTATTCATTACTAAAATTAAAGATAAGAGTCTATGGTATAAATAATATTGATAGACACATCCTGGTTTTGCGTATCTGGTACATATAAAACAAAATAAAAACGTAGTAATTTTTTTTACCCCCATGTTGACCTTTTTGCACTTAAAATTAAGCACTTACCAAAAATAGGAATAGAGGA